AAAAAAAAAAAAGTATCTGGTCTCAACCATAGACCAGGGGGGTCCGGCGTTTTGGGAACGCCGGACCCCCAGGATCAAAAAATTCCGACCGGATTTTGGCAAAAAAAGTCAGTTTTGATTTCGTTCAAAAAATATAATATGTCCGTTTTGACGAAATGGCTGTTAGAGAAGGAAAATTCAAGGGAACTAGGTTGCAAGAGACCGGATAGGCAATATATGGGACCAGGATAGCATAGGGGGAAGTACCTAAGGGTTTTTCTTGGTATTCAAGAGCCATATGTCAGGTCGATCTATTCGGCCTGAGAGGAAAAATATTACATAACAGGAATCCACGGACTTTACTATCACAACATAGAATCCCTGCAAAATACCGCTGATGAATCCGCACCAGCGCTCAACCCTTTTGTCCGCTGCTTAGGTTAAGAGGAGAACAAACTCCCAGTACTCGCTTATATCTAGTTCTGCTGCCGAAATCAACTAGGAAACGGCTAGTGTGAAAACTTTCAAAAACACTACGGGGATTTGACGTAGCCCCACTCGCCGGCAGCGGCTGTCCCCTAAGCTCACAGTACCAAAGTTAAAAAAGTAGAAACAAAGTAAAACAAAAGCCCAAGGGTACGGCCGTACAACGGAAAAGTCCCGGCGGCAGCAGCCCCTCTTTCAAAAATTGCGCTATCCGGGAAAAGATTCTCTCTGACCAGCCTTGTTTTTTTTTGTCTGATTTGCCTCCGTAGACAGGTATCCAAAACAACCCTATCTTAGCCCCTCAAAACTTCAGGCCTTTCCACCTACCCCCCCCCCCTCCCCCCCCCCACTTTCTCCCCCTTTTTTTGTCTCAATCCATCTCAGCGTTTGCCGTATCATGTCTTTCTCAGACTCTGGACCCTTTCTTCTTTCAATCCTTCTTAGTCCTTGGGTATCCAACCACCCTCATTTCCTTCACAAAGGTCATCAAGCTTAACCACAAAGTCACCTTAGTGTTTGCATTGTCCCAAATCCGACTCAGTGTGTTTGAGATTGCGGCATACTTCTGTATCTTTGGGGCGTACGATTCAAAACTCCTCAGAGTTTTGAAATGCCCTCCCTTCCCTTCCCAGATTGTGTCGATGTTTTTGAATTTGTGCAGACTATATATCCAGGCCGGAAAATCAGTCACTATCAATCTGGCCTCAAGGAATTCCAAGAGCCCGTTCCCGGCATCCGTCCGTTCCAATGACAGCTCCTGGTGATAACACTCCCGTATCTTATCAAGGATCCTGTTGATCCTGCCTTCCCCAAATTCTTCCCTTGTATCATACCAGCCAATTAATAGTAGGTCATCGACGAATCTGCTTCCATCGATGTACTTCGCATATGCCCCCAGGCTGGAGATGAACTGTTGTTCTGCACAAATACACAAGACATTTGCCAACGGAGGACTTGCCCTTCCTCCCATGGGGATCCAGACAGTCTGTTTCAGGATCTGATTCATGGAGTAAAAGAAGGTGTGTTCTAGCTGAAAAATGGTTAAAGTCACAAGTTCACTCATTCGAATTGATTTCCAGCCCATTTCCCCATGTGACTTTCCAAAAGTCGCCTTCTTCCTGGTCGTCTTTACTCGAATCCATTCATGCCCTATGTCTCGGAATACCTCTATCAGCCATCTGACTGCTTTCACGATTTCCTGATGAGGCAATTTTGTGAACATTTGTTTAACGTCATATGTTCGGACCACCATTTTGACATCCTGTCCCAGCTCACGGTGTGCACCCTCATTTACTTTCCCAATCCTGTCCTTCAGTTGCTTAGGTCCTGTTATGTTGAAATGCCTCCCTTTCAGTCTCTTAATCATGAAGTTCAAGCTTTTTGCCAAAAAACCCATTGCACTTGACGTCGGACTTAGAAAAGAAGGCACAATCGACCTTTTTCTGTCTAAGTCTTTGTCTTTTGAGAGGATGCAGGCATGTTGTAGCCTACCTCTGTGTTCCCACCTCACAATCTTACCCAGTTTAAGGTTAACATATTTAGCTTTTGACTCACTCAAAATCTTACTTTCTGTTTCCTCAATCTTCTCATAATTCTCATTCTCATTGTACGTGTTCCTCATCTCCCTTTCGTAGGACACCGGACATTCAACAAGAGTGGCTCACGGGTTCCTGTCAAGGGGGGAAAGAACCAGTCTGGTGAGGGCCTGTTTCACTCCAAGTACGTACTTAGTGCTATATCCATTCAGCCGAGGAACTCCATTTGCACAATATTCACTTCTTTTTATATGATTTTTTTCTGATTCTTCCATACAGTCCATCCTCTTCAGCGGATCCATTGCTGCATTACAGGCCAAGTTAACTTCTTGCCCAGTTACTAAGCTTCCTGGGAAAGGGATGTTCTTTGCATTTAGAACAAAGTCACGAACCCCCTCTACGTCGTCCAATCTGACCTGAACATGCCCATGCACTTTGGGCAGGTTAAATGCTTCGCAAGTGCATGGCCAACCATTTCCTCTTACGAAGCGTTGATGGTTATGCAGGATGTCGCCGACAGATTTCCTTTTCTGCCAGACTGTTCTCATCCTGCCAGCCAACAGGTCTGATAGTGCGGTAGGGGTGATCTTATTATTCAACCAATTTTTCACGAAATTATGCACTTTCCCTTTGCTCACCGAATCGCAGAACGACAATTTCACTATGATCGTGTACCTGGGATTTATTCCATATACCTTCTTTGCAACTCTCGTAATAATCCCACGTGTAATTTGCCTTCCTCTCACCGTTTTAATCAGTTTGATCCCGGAATTGATCTCAAGTATTTCATCCAGGCTCTTCTTATACAGTGCCTTCCTTTTCCAAGGTGCCCTGAGGATCATAATAGCCTCTTTCTTTCCCCTTTCATACTTGTTCTTAGTCTTCCTCAGTTCAATGATAGCCCATTTTCCACCTTCCTGCATGTGCTGCTTAGCATCCCTCAACTGCATAATCCGCCCCGATATCTCAATAATACTATTACTGTATAATAACTTAACAAATCCCCATGCATACAACCATTTATCTCCCTTTCCGTTTGCAATCTCATACCTTTTTCTGTCGCATGCTTTCTTTAGAATCTTCAAGAGGCTGGGTTCCCCCAAAAAACCCAGCTGTTGACAATCAAATAAAATTGGAGTTCTAACAGTTTCAACAAATCGCAAATCTTTCTTCTGCTTTCTTGCTTTTCTATTGTCTGGTTTCTTCTTCATTCTTCTTGTGTTCAGACCGAGATTTAAGCTTTCAATCGTGTGTTTCTCCATTCTTATGAGAGCGTCACTCGTCCCAAACCAAATTGGCAGTGCAACATAACAGTTTACACCCACCTTCTCCAACCACCTATGCAGTTTCTGCTTGTGTTTGGAGGAGACAACCCGTATATGTTCCTGCCATCGTGTTTGCATCGTTCTCTCAGTCTTACCAACATAGGTTAGTTTATAGAAAGGAGAGATCAGCACATATACACATTTATCTGCGTTCAAAATCTTGTCCCTCTGTTCATTGGTCAATTTCGTCCAATATTTTACATATGCTTTTCCCCATCTCGAATCCCCTCTCAGCCACAAGAGAAGTACCAATAATTTCAAAATTGTGTTGAGTTCTTTATCGAAGTTGTTAGCTCATTTACAAACGAAAGCGGAGATTCTTTTGCAGGCTCTACGCAGGGATCTCTTGCTTAGCTTATTTCAGTTTCCTGCAATATCATCATTGTCTGTTTCTTTCTCAGATTCGGAGCTACTATCCTGTTCTTCTCCTCCTCATCACTCGTACCACTACTGTCCGCTTTTTCATCCTCTCCAGGCTTCTCCAACTTCTGCAGCACCTCAAAGTCAAGCCTGGCAAGCTCCCACACGTCGGCTTCTTTCTTTCTGTAAGCGATCCCTTTCTGCTTGCATAAGACTTGAATCTTTGTGTAGTGCATTGCATCGTAGTAGACTACTAGGTCCCTGAAGTATAATCCAGGTGCTATATCATCCTTCCCATTTTCTCTTGCAGTATCAGGCCCTAGCTCCTCCTGCTCTCCGCCTCTCTCAGTAGCATTCCCTCCGTGCTCAACTTTTCCCTGCTTCTTTTCTATCTTCTTCCCATCTTCCCCGGAGTTACAACTGCTGGCCTCCTTACTTTTTGCTGCCAATAGTTCCTGGATCAGCTCTTTCAACACTGACACTTCCTTCATGCTTTCACCCTCCAAACTTACACTCCAGATTCTGCACCACTGCATCCCTCCCTTTACTCCCTTCTTCAGACGAGTCCTCAACCGGTAGTGGGGTCGGAGCCCTCCCACCCTTCTTCAATAAACTGGTTCGTGATCTTACTTTCCCAATTCTTGGGCGAAATGGAGTAAAGTCTCTCTTTCTTTTTTCATTGCTAGAATTCTCCCTTAATTCCCTCAGTTCCTTCTCCGCCCTTAATAGTTTCAGTTCCTCCAACTCACAATCTGACAACTTCGACTTCTTCTCAACAACTTCCAATTTCTCAGCCAAAATTTTCAGTGGCTCCCCAAAATTTTCTGCAACCCATTTCTTCAATTCATCTACTTTCCCATCTTCAACAACTTTCCCCTTCCCTTTCTCCTTCGCATTGTGCTTCCTCCCCTTACTCCTGCTCTCCTTTGAAGTCCCCTCCTCACTACCAATACCCTTCAGTCTCGTAATTTCCTCAAGATCCTTCCTCCTCGCCTCGTCAATGGCCTCCTTCATCTTCAATTTATCAATAAACTTTGCATGCTCCCTTGTGAAGAATGCACGTGGTGGGTAGTTCCCACCATTCCCGTGCCCATAGCCTTGATATTGACCATTGTTGGGTACGGACGTCAAGGGCTGCCCTAGGTAAAGCCACTGCCCAGGTTGCCCATTAGTGCTGCACTGGTATGGTACCCCAGGCGGGAGTTGCTGCTGTACCGCCGCGAATCCGAATGGCGCAATAGGAGCAGGCATCGGCTGCTGGTACGAACCAGAAGGGAAGTTCGGAGGCGGCTGCTGGAATGGAGCCATTGGGGGTTGTTCATGCGTCGAGGTAGGGGAAGAATTCTCCATCCAGTACCTCCCGCAGTTCGGCCACCTCCCCCTTCCCCTTCCCGTGATGTAAAATATCGTAAAAGTTCCTGCACAAAAACAATCAATCAAGCACAAAAGTCAAACACCACACGGAAACACAAGAAAACAGCTCCAATCTTCCCATCGCACAGCCCCGTCTTCCCTTCGCGTGAGCACCGTGTCAGCCGTATGTTGATCGTGATAGCCGATGCAAACTCAGCCAGATCGAAGCGGCTTGATATGTCGCGCTCGAACTCATCGTATCCACGCAAGGTAAGCTCGAGCCCCTCACGCCAATGATCGCCGGTTCATAAGCCACTGTATTTCCTACCCACCGGCCCTCACTTGTCCGCCATGCGCAACTCCCCTGACAACCCCCACTACTCCCTATACCGCTATGAAGTAGGCCCCCTCAAGGTCCTTGAACTCGCAATCCTCCGCAAGTCTACACACGTCCCCCTACACCCGTCATGAAGTACGCTCCACCCCCAACTTCCATGTACTCGCAATCCTTCGTACCGTCGTCGCCGGTCATCACCTCTAGGTAATACCTCCCCCAACACAGAAATACACAACTATCCTACGTGAAATTCCGCACACGTGCCACTACCCCGTCACTCACCAATCTGTATTGCGCTTCAACCCAGGAATATCAGCGCCTACCTTGCCGCTATGGCACGCGAACCGCCTCCAGTTCATTAGCCCAGTGTAGGAGCAAGATACGTCGTCATCAGATACCAGATCGCGAGGTGAGGAGCAAAACGAGGCTGATCGAAGAGAAACTTACCCCCCGGCAACGCAAAGATAAAAAATATTATGATGTGTAATTACTAAGTAGAAGAAATGAAGCACATCAGTAGAATACTGACGGCGCTACTAGATCGTTCCCCATGCTCCACTGCAAGGTCGATCTTGTAGCTCCACGCAATGATATTACATAACAGGTTAAGAGGACTTTACTATCACAGCATAGAATCCCTGCAAAATACCGCTGATGAATCCGCACCAGCGCTCAACCCTTCGGTCCGCTGCTCAGGTTAAGAGGAGAACAAGCTCCCAGTACTCGCTTATATCTAGTTCTGCTGCCGAAATCAACTAGGAAACGGCTAGTGTGAAAACTTCCAAAAACACTGCGGGACTTGACGTAGCCCCACTCGCCGGCAGCGGCTGTCCCCCAAGCTCACAGTACCAAAGTTAAGAAAGTAGAAACAAAGTAAAACAAAAGCCCAAGGCTACGGCCGTACAACGGGAAAGTCCCGGCGCCGGCAGCCCCTTTTTCAAAAATTGCGCTATCCGGGAAAAGATTCTCTCTGACCAGCCTTTTTTTTTTTTGTCCTATTTGCCTCCGTAGACAGGTATCCAAAACTTAGCAGAGCAAGAGGACGGTATGATAAATGAAGTACGATAGGATAGCATAGGCAGGGGGGAGGGGTGGTACATCCTTCCTCATGGCAGCAATCAATGCCGCCTACTCGGGCCTCCCATTCATAATGGGGAGGAGCGTGCACGAGTTTTTTATGTATTCAAATTCAAATTTGGCTAACTGGGGGTATAGGAACCGAAAAAAAAAAAAAAAGAAGAAGGAGGAACCGGACTGTCTCCCCAGAAAAATGTAGCAGATCTCTTTTACCGCAAATGCAGTCTAGAAAATCAGCTCTAGCATTCAGGTTCATCCCACAGCACTCAGCTGAGAGGAGCTTGGAGCCAGGCGGCTCAGAGAATCAGAAGGTAGAGAATATAGGCTAACTTAGGCAGGGGTGAGGGGTGGTACATCCTTCCCTAGGGAAGTAATCAATGCCGTCCACTCGGGCCTCTCAACCATAATGGGGAGGAGTGTGCGTGTGTCTTCATTGTATCCATATTTGACTTGCCGGGGGAATAGGAACCGGACTGTTGCTCCCCAGAATGGCAGGAGCCAGAGCCGAGAGGTTCTGATTTTTATTAAAAAAAAAAAAAAAAGGCACCGGACTGTCGCTCCCCAGAATGGCAGGCGCCAGAATCGAAAGGTTCTGTTTCTTTTTTTTTTTTTTAAAGAATTGTTGCACAGTATTATGGGATGCAGCAGAGCAATTCTCAGTGGACCCGACTCAAGGCCACAAAGTGCGCCAGCTACCCTACCTTCGTCGACGTTGGTCATGGTTAGCAATGGACCAGCAGAGATCACCATCATCAGGGCTATACTGTAAGCAGGCGAGGTTTTTCCCTCAACTTGCCCGGTCACCAGTTGAACATATCTCAGGTTCAACTTGGTGGGCTTGGACAAGACGAGAAGGAAGTTGGCCCTGAGAGCATTTCCCTACCTGCTCGCCAAATATTTATTAGACTTGGACTAAAAGTGGAAATCCACTGATTGGTCTGAGCTTTTGTGTGGGGCTGCTCATCCCCGCTGAGTTCATTTATTTTATTTTGTTTATTAATTTATTATTATTATTGCGGTGACCCGCCTCATATGCCTCGTGGAATGTCTAAGGGCCTTGCCAGGCCACAACCCGGCCTCAGGCCTAAAGGGCAAAAGACCCCCGAAGTGGTGCCAGGGCCTGAGCGCTCGACAGTTGACTTCAGTCAACTGCCTGAGCCCCAATGTGGCATACTGCGCAGCCACACGGGCCTGTAAGGCCCGATCAGATGGAAAATAGGGGCCTTCCAGGCCCTGTGTCGTTTCAGACTAAAAAAGGGCCCTCCAGGCCCTGAGTCTTTTCAGCCTGAAACGGAGGGCCATTTTATTCTGTTGATTAGGACCGGGAGGAAAGTACAGTTTGGTTGGTTACCTTCCTGTGTTTTCCCTCTGATTGATTGATTGATTGTTTATTAGAAAATCAAATAGGGAGTCAAATCTCTGCAAAAAAAAAGAAAAGATTTATTTTTCGCAACTTCGGATATTAGCATTTCGTTTTCTGTTTCACTCTGGGAAGATTAGGCGAACTAGGAAGGTTGTCATATTCTCGGATTGGATATATTCTTCTCTCAAAGTGGAACCTCCAGTCTATTTCGCGCAAAAAAAAAAAATTCAAGATGGCAATTTTTTTTTGAAAGCCGAAACCTTGCGGAACTTTGCCTAGATCTCGCTCATAGTACTCCTCTGAAATGCCTCACTCATAGCAGATCGACAGATATACAAAAAAAAAAAGGGGGTGATCCTCTTCTTTTATTTTTTATTTTTATTTTTATTCTGTTGATTAGGACCGGGAGGAACGTACAGTTTGGTTGGTTACCTTCCTGCGTTTTCCCTCCCACCCAACCCCTTGCCTGCATTTCTGGTTTGGTAAAATGCCATGTCAGCAGTGCCACGTCAGCAGCAGTGCCATGTCAGCAGTGCCACATCAGCAGCGCCACAACAGCAGCAGTGCCACATCAGCAGTGCCATGACAGCAGCAGTGCCACATCAGCAGCAGTGCCACATCAGCAGCAGTGCCACATCAGCAGCAGTGCCACATCAGCAGCAGTGCCACATCAGCAGCAGTGCCACGACAATAGCAGTGCCACGTCAGCAGTGCCCCGCCACCATGACGGTTTTCGCTTTGGGCATGCCAGGCCAACTGGCCGGCGAATCCATTGCCGACTACCGACAGCGGTTCCACCTCAGCTCGCATTAATCGAGGCTGAGGAACAGCGCCAGGAGGCAGCCGAGGCTGCCCGCCTACAGGCTGAAGTGGAGGCAGCAACTGAACAGCAGCGGCTTCAGGCCGCAGCTGATGCAGATACCCAGGCCTGCCGCAAGGAAACCCAGGATCTGTTACTGCAGCACGGAGCCACCAACATCGACAAACTCAAGTTCTGGCATTTCGAACCATCCGAGGGCAACGACGACGCAACACCGGAACAACAGCACAAGGAGTCCCTCTCCAAACTCGTGACCCGGTTGGTTTACACTTGTAACCACCTGCAGTCCAAGTTAGAGAAACAACACCAGGAACTGACGAATCTCCGACGGGCGATGCAGAACCACAAGGATCTGCACGAGGGTGCTACACGGGCACTTGATTCCTGTGTACAGGACCTGGAGCAAGCAGCACCAGGATCAGACACTGGCGAACCCAGCAGTGCAGCCTCAACCCGCCAATTGGAAGAACGAGTTGACCATGTAGTAGCAATGCTCGGCGACATCAGCACCTTCGCCGCACCCGCCACCATCAGCGAGCAGCTCGACGCCTTGAAGAACAATGTTCGGCAATTGCACCAGCCGCTCGATAACGAATGGCAGCACCAGTCCGCAGCATTACAAGATGCAGATATTCCGGATCGAAAAGTTGACTATACGCATCAAGATCCGGTCCCCTGGTGGGAGGGCTTTACGACGGAACTTCGGATTCGTCACACCCCCAAACACTCGTACATTGCGGCACTGTTCCTCAACACCACGGGCGGATGCCAGATCGGGCTTAGCCACCTGACAACCATCCATGGCATCCAGGTCGCCGACCTGCACCAGAAGCTCTCTTGAGAAGAGCTGACGAGGCTATGGAAGAAACGGTTCATCGTTGAAGACGCCCCGACGCTCGCCATCAACCGCCTCTTCACCATGACTCAAGGCCACACACCGACACGCGATTGGCTCACCGAATGGCAAAAGATCGTGACAACGCCCAATCTCGAGTTGCCATTTTCACATCTGCGTCGGGAGTTCTACAACTGGTCGTGTGTCGCCTTGAGCCTCGCACTTGGTGATCAAGAACAGTACACGACCTTCGCCGACATCATCGACAAGGCACGGGAGATCATCAAGACCAACCGGGCTGCTGCACACAAGAGGTCAGCGTGGCAGACAACCCATGTGGAGAAGGGAAAATTTGATCCGCGTCCACAGCATGTCGCTGCAGTCCAAACGGACAATATTGTGGAAGACTCGGCAGCCACCCCAGCATCATGTGAGGGAGATCAGGTGGCCGCCGTCCAGCCGCGAAGCAACAACAACTCCCGTATCAAAAGGAAGGCAAAAATCACATCGCCGGCCGGAAACGGACAGCCAGTACCATGGGTCAAGTTAACTTGACCGAGGCTGAATACAAGTGGCACAGCCGGTATGGCTGCTGCTATTGGTGCAACTGCACCAAGCACAAGACCTCCCAATGCTAGGATCACGGCAAGGAGGATGTTCGACCTTGCATCAACTCGGGAAACTGAGTTTCGAGGGAGGTGAGGCAACTCCACCTCTCACTCCGCCAGATTCGGCCACCTTGCTAGCGGACTCCTACACATCTGGGGAGAATGCGGATGTCGTGAGTCCTCGGTTCACTTACGAGGAGTATGCTGTCCACTTGGTCCCACCGTTGGACAAACCACTCCATGTGCAACAATCCATCGCATGCACGTTTTCATCACCATCGGCAACCGATTCGGGAGCTTCGCTGCCAACTATCGTCGGGGATTCGACGTCATGGTCAAGACTTCAAGAACTCGACCCATTGACGTTTGTGGACTTCCAATGGATGCCCCTTCCCCCGACTAGTCGATTGTCGAAACCGCATTGCAACGTGCTCATGGCATAATTACGGGATTACTTGCACACTGCAGTACCAGCTCTGTTGATGGATGCCGAAGTAGAGGTTGTTGACCTTCACGACTATGTTGCGAAGATCGACTGCGAGTTCAAGACACAACGGGACGACGACATCGACGCGCCATTGTTGTACATATGA